TTGAAATCTATAGAAATAGACTAAAGTTAACCAAAATACACCGATTTTTGTCCTAAAAAGCCCACTATTGTATTACTCCTCGGCATAATATAAATCATGTGTCTTGTCTGTTATCTCAAGTGGAATCAATTTAACATAATAATCAGTAGGTAGACCATACAACCATATGTTATATTCCCCATTATAACCAATACAATCAAATGGAATCCATTCCAAATAGACATCATTTGGTGAGTTTGTTTGTAATTGAGACCTCTTAATAAGCTCATCAAGTTGCTTATTGTTGCTAGTCCATCCATCGGATAATTGTTTATGCCTGTAAATGCACCACACGAGACTACATCGGAGTATTCCACATGCAGTGCAGAAGCCATATCAAGAGTAACAGTGATAGAAGCATTTATCAGCAACCATGTAATAATTATCGTCATACTTGGTAAATCCATATATCGGTTTGTTGTGATTCCTAAGCCATGGGTAATATCTTTTAAAGTTATTGTCAACATTGTACTTGTGTGTTGGAAGTGAGTATATTCTGGCAAACTCACTCACAAGTGTTGGTGTACATTCTTTGCTGTTTCCAAGGCATAACAGCATTATCATGCAATAACTGCGAGTAGCGTTGTAGACGTTGTCAATTTGAGTTGGCTTTATATCAGCGATTTTCTCATAAGAAATCCATTCAAGTTTATGTTCACTTTTTGAGGATTGAATTAAGTTGTCAATTGCTGAGTTATTAACCTCTGGAACTAGTGACATCATTGAATAAGAAGTTTTCAAGTACAATCACAGAGAGAGCATTCTCAACATCAATGTTCGATCTGTGTGTAATGTTTAATTTCTTTTCCAGGCAGTATCTCCCCCACCATATTTAGTAGTAGGTATTTTGCCAAATTTGGCAATAGATTGGGGGAGGTAATTTTATCTCCAAGCTATTTCCCCTACCAAATCATCTAGTAACTCGAAATGTTACCAAATCTGGTAGGGGAGGAGCACCCTGTGTTAATGTCATTGTGTTCTTGTCCAATTTATCAGTCATTGGACATTGGAATTGACTTACAAAATCATATGGGGCATGCTGCAACAAAACCAGACAAAGTGAACATTTGATTATGTGACATAAATGAGAGGCTGATGATGTGGCTGTAAAACTGACCAGGGTGACTGATGACGTTTTGAAAGTAATAATGGTGCTCATTCATAATGTTAACTTTAATGCTCACTTTATCATACTAATACCAGAAGGTGATGAATATAAACCATAACAGGAGTAATATAGGATTATCCCTATATAAAAATATAAATATGAAACTAATTTATATCAAATCCACTATGGAACCCAAGAATTACAGCACTATTTGAAGCATTCTAAAGAAAGCTCAAGGAGAAAAAATTGCTCCCTATGTTTTTAAAATCAATGATACCCAAACTCTCCAGGAATATTTAGATCAAGAAAAAATCACTTATGAAATTTATCAAGAAGAACGAAAAATTATAACTAATAAAAGAAATTTAACCCCAAGTTATGAAGAACCAAGAAAAAAGCGAAAACTTGAAGAGACATAAGGAAAACAAATCCAGCAACCATGATCGAGTGACCATATAATTATCTTCACTATCATAAAAGAATGATCTGTGTGACTAGTTTTGTAAAACCGATCTATAGTCACGTGGAGATTGCATTTATAAACCTTGTACTAGTACGCGATAGTTCGACACGAAACTTGAACACGATGAGTAGCGAACCATATTTAGGATATGAAGGTACGTTAGTTCGAAATTCGCAGTTCCATGTTTATCAACGCGTTTTTACTCTTGTTACTCGTTTCTAGCTGTTGTCACCTACTTTCGCAACGTGGATAGCACCACTTGCAGCTATGCCGATTTCCTTTTTAACTTGCGGGACGTCATCTTGCAAGTTCCACCATATACTGAGGATTGGTCCGGACTCGACGGGCTTCATTGCGATTTGCTTTATATTATGAAAAGGTTGTTTGTTGAGTATTAGCCACGTTTGATATCGTTGGCATTTTTCTTCTTGCTAGCAACATCCGCATATTCCGATGAAATCATTTTTTGAAGATATTATATTTGAACGCAAGAAGGTCAGCATAATTTATGTGCCGTTGCGTCGTATTTTTGGAGAAACGATGAACGTGTACATTTATGTTACTAAATTTTGGGAAGACGAGTTTGTAAAGGGAACTTTCTCTACTGATGCTTATTATATTCTGTGCTTTGATGGTATATAGCGAACGGCTCAGCGTCATTACGTAATGTCTAGTGTAAATGTTTTAGATGAAGCTCGGAGGCATGGTGTTGAAGCAATTATCTCGAACATGTCAGAAGCCTTTGTAACAAATGCTACAAAAAGGTCTCAAGAAGATATAACAGTTGCAGGGTCACCAAAGAAGGTACTGATTACAAAGGTTTCTTGGCTCACTTTCCATTTTTAGATAAGTATTTGTTAAAGCATCTTTTGATTATTTTACAGTGCCGAATGGATCCCAGTTTCAATGTCTCATTCGATGAATACATCAATAATGCTAATGCTACTCACATGAAGTAAGCTATTTTCTGTCTATCTATTTGTTAATAATAAATACACATGAGTGATACTTTTCCTTTACCATAGCAAGGACATTGAAGAGGGTGTTGAAGATGTTGAAGAGGATGTTGAAGATGTTGAAAGGATGTTGAAGATGTTGAACAAGAATTTACTTCACAACTCAAACAGATTCCGTTATCGGATGTGGTAATGATGTTTAATACCATGTTGGCATTTGATTACAATTCTCACAAACATTCTTAAACTTTTAGATGGAATTAATGTACATGAAGTACTAAAATCATACCAAGAAGAGCTGCAAGAACAAAATATTTGGACGACAGCAGATGCAAGGATGTGGGTAGACAGAGAAACAATTTTTACTTGTGGCATGCAATTATACAAGTAGCTAAACTCTTGTTGTAGTGCTCTATCTAGCATAGTCGATTTGACTGAAAATTCAGGGATACGAAAGAAATTCTCAGATCATGTGTGGAAATCACTTATTCTTGGTGTTGATAAGTTGCAACTGATCTCAATAACAACTCTTGGGGAAAAACTTATTTGTGAATATAGTGAGGTATTATCAATGTATTTGTCATTATGTCTGTCAAATTGGTATGATTGATCATTACTTTATGATAGGTTTGTGTGAAGGAGTCACCCTTGATCATGGAAAGCATTTGGCTTCAAAATTGGAACCTGGCAGCTGGAAATGAGACCACCATGAAAATCCAATGGTTGTATGGACATTTGTAAGTTCAGAATAGTATTATTTACTTTGTGAGTGCAAACAATCTATCCTAACTGGCTCACAGCATCAGGTACTTCAAAAACGATCCACCAAGCATATGTGGTTCAGAAATGGATCATATTGTGAACATAGTAGCACCCATTATTAACACTCTCCTCAGTGGTTATGGTAAATGGATTGAATGGTAAGCCTGATACTGCATGTGCTGTCATTGGAGTGTGCTGAATGCTTATTATTATTTGTTCAGGGACCAGTCTGATTGTTCGAACAGATGTCATCCTGATATCAAGATAATTATTAAGGACAAGAGCAATACAGTGTGTGCTGTTGGAGAAGTGGCATGACCACATGCAACAAAATGAAAAGTCGATTTTGACAAACGGTGGATACTCATGAAAATGAAACGTACCTTTGATGAACTGTGTATAAGAACTGTAGAATGCAGGCTGGGAGAAGTATTGGAGGAATTGCATCTTTTCAGAATTCAAGTAATAGGTATGTTGGAATCTTGTGGAGCCTAATGCCTGCTTAATATATATGCTAAGTATACATATCAATATAGGCTCTCAGTTAATACTATACAAACTGGATGCAAAAGGCCCAATGTACCAACTTGCTTCGATTGGGGAATTCCATTTGCCAACACGATCAACAGAATTGGGATTATTAGAGCACTGTATTAAGTACTTATTATCCTTGGATGTAAGTATCTTTAATTACACACTATGTTTCTTCCTATAAGGTCAGATAACAATATGATACATTTTTCAGAAACGTATGACATCACTGTCACAGACAATTCACAAAATATCGAATTTGCCATCTATCAAGCAGACTACAACCAATATTAATCTCCCTGTGAACGCGATGGGCTAACACCGAGGGTTCATGCTCGGCATCGCTTCATTATGGGCAATGTGTAGTTAACGATTA